GTTGGGATGTAAAACTGACATGGTCTGGGGAAAGCAAAAAAAGAGTTGGAGTTAGCTTCTCCAAGCAAGGAAATGGGACAGAAAACGGCCCAACTCAATGCTTTGTCCATATCCCCCCAAACATGCACATAACTTCAGTGATGTCCACAGATTACATGTTATAATGGGAACTCTGGACAGTCTTCTGACTGCTGAATGGTTATTTGCCCCAATGTCATAAAAGCCTAGGACTGGAAGGGACCTTGAGAGCTCATCTAGTCTATTCCCTGCATTCATGGCAGGACCAAACACCATCTAGAAACCATCCCTGACAGATATCATTCCTTCCCTTTTCCTCACAATCTTTCTGCTGTCATTGTTCTCCCACTTCTGTCCTTCTATCTCCTCTGTGGTGTTCCTTCCTTTCTCTCTCCCATCCCTTTCTTTTATTTACTGTGGTTGCCTGTCAGTTCTCTTCTCCCCTTCAATATTATATAATATTTCTATCCCCCTCAATACTGCGTAATATTTCTATGATGCAATGTGTATTTAGCAATGAAATAAAACAAAAGCAATAGAACGAGCAAGCTGTGTGCTAGGTCACTCAGATCCCTTTGCCTTTCACCCACCCTTTTGTTTGTTTTTTGTCTTTTTGACTGCAAAAGCCAAAACAGCTTTCAAGCGGGCCTCTTTAGCTTGTGTTTGTATGACACCTGGTTTATTCAGGCCCCGATCCTAGCTGAAGCCTTAGAAGCTATTGAAATATTCATAATAATGATCAAGCAGTAAGAAGAGCGAGAGGGGAAGAGAGTGAAAATGACAAGAAAACAACTGAGCAATAGAGCACACACTGTCTGAATTTAACCTTTGTTACACCCTGTTGATTTAGAGTAGCACAGATATAACTGAGGGCAAATTTGGCCAACTAACTTTCAGCAATACAGAAGAGAACATAGAAACTACAGGCCAAGGACGGTCATTGACATTCTGGGGTTATTACATTTGTTCCTGGGTGAAAATCCCTTTCTAATGGTAGATGAGTGGCAGTTCACTTTCATTTACATATACCCTTTGGAGTCAATGATATTACACAGGAGTATAATATAGATGGCAGAATTTGGCCAAAAATGTCTTAGGGGCAGATCCTGCAAAGCAAGAGTAACATCAATTAGGGTAATAATCAAAGGGGAGGAAGAAAATATTATTGCTGCAGAAAAAATAAAAGTATAAAATACAATTGGCACTATCTGGATAATCTAGTAAATACGTCATTCTCCTTTGATAAAGACCAATGTCCCATCTCCCACATGCAGCCTGAAATATATTCATTCAGTTTATCAGATATGACATTAATGCAAATTGGGTTAAAGATTACTATATTACTAATTAACCACAAAGACATTTCATCATGATCTGATGACAATACCGAAGAGCAGAAACAAATTGGTAGTTTATATTCCTAGGGATGCAATGTCTAAACCAGGGGTTCCCAAACTTTTTGACACGGGGACCAGTAAATTCATTCATGAGCTTTTGGAGGACCGGTAACATTCATTTCCATATTCATTAAGCAAATGATGAATATTCAAATAAGTTGTTTCTGGTCCTCCCAAAGCCCCCAGTGCCAGCATTAGCAAAGCTTTTGATACAGTCACCCACAATATTCTTGCCAGCAAGTTAAGGGAATATGTATTGGATAAATGGACTGTAAGGGTGTGTCTATGGAGCCGTGTAGATGAGGCTTATAGGCAGAGGGAAATGAAGCTGCGATTTAAATATTTGCTGCTTCATTTAAATTTAAATGGCTGCCGCACTCTGCTGATCAGCTGATGATCAGCTGTTTGTCGGCAGATTGCAGCAGTCTGGACGCGCTGCGGTCGACAAGGAAGCCTTTGTCGACTGGCGCAGGTAAATCTGGTTTCACGAGGCATACCTGTTTCAGGAGTTCAGTGAGTCAATGTTAGTCTGCACTGTCCTTGCAGAACTCAGACTTGGTACTATAGAAGCACCCAATTGCTAAGATATTTCTTCTACATGTGCTTATACATAAGGGAGAGTTCCTAAATGACATGAGAATTAACTTAGATCCCATGTTTATCCAAATATTTAGCGCTCTCTCTCATGGTTACATTGTAAATTGGTGGCTGCTGACTGCCATAAATTCCTGCTTTGACTATAAAATTATATACTATCACAGGCCACACTGTGTTTGCCATAAACAGCAACTCTCTTTGTCTTTAGCTGCTAGTTCTTTGTTCTACTGAATAGAACAGATAGCACCTTCGTGCCATAAAAATTAATTTTCTATTTTACTTTAATCTTAGCGACCAGTTAAATGCCTCTAGGATTCATTATTTTATCAAACTCTCTAATCTGGCTGCACTGTGGAGAAAGGTACTAGTACAGGGAACCCTGCACAGATACAAAATTTGTATCCACATTCATATCTGCAAAAATGAGCTGCAGATACCCATGGATATAAAGCGGACATCTGTGGACTCTACTAATACACAACTTGTGTAAAAGCCTTACAGAAAAGTAATCTGTGGGCTCGTGGGATCACACAAGCAAATACTGTGTAAACTATAGAGCAGCAAGGCTGACAGCCACTGCAGACCTCAGGGTGTGTGTGTGGGGAGGCAGCTCTGTGCCCCTGAAAGGGATGGAGTCGGGCAGCCAGCTCTCAGTTCCACCTAGATTGATGTCTCCCTCCCTTCCCCCAGTCCTCAGAGTCACATGGCATGGCGGAATGGTGCTCTGACACTGTGGCAGTGATTCAAAGGGTCCCAGAGCTCCAGCCACCACTGCTGCTAATGTGACAATGGTGGAGGCTGGAGCCTCAGGGCCCTTTGAATTGCCCTCTCCCCCATCAGCATGCTTGCAATAGGACCAAATCTTGCAGCCTTTACTTACCACAGTAGTCATTTGTCATAGAAGTAGTTTCTTTGGGCCATTCAGTGGCGATACGTAGTCTGGTGTGAGTCAGACTCTCTTAAACTTGGTTAGATTCCCTGAGACCTGCTTATAACCACTTACCAACGTGTGAGGGAGTCCAAGTTACTGTAACTTACATTTTTTCCTGGCAACTTGGAATGTAGGTTCCAGCAGTGTATGGCTATTTTAACTGTCACTTTCTTATTACCCCGTGCTAGTTACTTGCCTGCCGCATTACTTTCTTCTGGCCCCATAACAGGCATGTTACATCAGTTTAGATTTCCTTACGCTCAGGGTACGTCTACGCTGCATGCTTATTTCAAAATAAGCTATTCTGGAGGAAATACTCCAAAATTGCTTATTTCAAAATAGCACAAAATTAGTCAGAGGCAGGCCTCCCTCATGTGGATGTGCTACCTCAATTGAGAGCCCCAGGAGGCACTGGGGAGTAATTACTTAGAATAGCCCTAGGGAGGAGCAATTTCAAAAGAGCAGCAGTAGAGCATCCACACTACTGCTGTTGAAAAAGCAGCAGTAGAGCGTCCACACTACTGCTATTCCAAAATAGCTATTTGGGAATAGATATTATTCCTCATGGAATGAGGTTTACAGAAGTCATAATAAGCTGTCATTTCAAATGTATTTTGAGATAATGGAATTGCTGTGTAGACACTCTCATTGTTATTTTGGAATAATGACTATTATTCTGAAATAATGCTGCTGTGTAGCTGTACCCTCAAAGGCTCAAAGTTAGAATCAGTGAGACAAGTTCTGAGATGATGGGAAGCAAGGTGTAAATTACTTGTAAGCATAAGGGGTCTTGGTGTGTGTGACGGGGCAGCGCCCGAGCCCTGCACGGACAGGGATGCTCAAAAGGAGTGCCGCTGCTGGAGTAGAGGAGGAGTTGCTGCCGGATGGAGGGCGGCCAGGCGGAGGCATCTCGGGCCCCGGCTCCGGAGACCCAGGAGACCCCGCCGCCACAGCGACGCGACGAGGGAGGTAGGAAGCGACCCAGGGCAGGGTGCAGGAACCTGGGGGGTTGGTGTGTTAAGGGGACCCTATCCTCCACCAACCAGGACTGGGGGGGTTGCATCCCCCAGACCTTAGGGCCCTGGGTCGGGGCTCGGAGTGAGGGCGGGCCCGAGCCCCCCTAACTTCCCCCACCGGCGCAGATGCCAGTGAGTCAACGCTAATTGTGGACCGACCCTGCCGGACTCGGGGCAGGACACCGGGGGTGTATGGAGCATCAAGGACGGAGACCTCGAGTGAGGGAGGACGGAGGGGCAGGACAGCGGCCCGCACGGTGGTCGCCGTGGTGCCACGCCCCTCCACAGTGTAACATACATGTTGTAGGGACTGGAAGGAATATTGAAGTGAGGTTCTTTCTAGATTTCTTTAGATGTTTATTTGTAATTGGCCATTGATTTTAATTGTGCTATCTTCATGAAAAATACTTTCATGAGTAAGAGTTGCAGAATTATGCCCATAATGATTCTGAATATTTTCAATTTTTTGTAACATGCATGCATTCTATAATGTTCTAAAAGTGACTGAAATGAAAAATATATATAATTGGAGTGATGTATTTCTGGATTGGTTGGAGTTGGCACACTTTTCTTACTCAGCTGAGCAAAGTTGAGAAGTATGTTGATATATTTCCCTAATTGAATGAAGAACATTTTTTTTCCTTTTAATAAAAAAATGACCACTAGAAATCTTTGCAAAAATACAACATGAAATCATGCAGTTTTCTCTATGTTGTGCTTGGAACTGCATTTCTTTTGATGAATGGAAGATATTTTAAACTTTCATCAAATCACTCACACTCACACACACACACCCTCACAAATCTTCTGTTACTTGCTAATTTGTTCTACTATTGTCAGTAAAACAAGGCAATCAGAGTTTATATACGAAGCTGTTCTGCCTATGAGGATTCAATGACTAAAAAAACCACAGAATCTTCTGAAACCATTCCCTATCCCCTTTTGGGAAAGTGTGATACAAAGCAACTCTGTCGTCATTCACTGCCCACCCCATTATGTTAATCCTTCTGGCTTTACATATCTCCTCCCAAAGACCAGCCTCTGTTAAGGACTCTACACTTAGCTGTCAGAGATTGTAAAACAAGAGCGTGCTGAGTAAATGCTTACTTTGCTTCATCTACAACTTTTTGTGCCATGGAGCAGTGCTCTTTGAATCTGGTGTAACTGCTTTAACAAGGTATTATCTTGAGTTTCTGCATTAGAAGCTCTTTCAACAGAAGACTGCAAAACAGGAATTGGTTGCATTTGGACAGCTATTTGGAAAACATAGTTTCTATGCAGCATTTTAAACCACTGAAATTAGATGTGAGGGTTTTTTTGTTTTGTTTTAATCTTCAAAAGAAGAGCTGGTGAGACTAAAGCACAAGTTCTGGGCCAGATGAATTGAAGCTTATGTGTATTTTTTTAACTGTGAGATATAAGTATGAGACATCAGCAAGTTCCTGCTAGTGAAATAAATGCATTATATGCAGGGCTAAGACCTTCATGTACAAGTAATAATATTACAGTCAGCTCTGCGCTCCATATGAAGGATAAATCTCACCTCATCAAAAGAAGAGGATGTCCCAGTGATATTTGGACCATGAACCAAGCTACTGGTACCAGTACTCACTTGCAAAACCAAACCATCAGTAGGTTCCACAGCTCGGGTAACAGTGAATTAAACTGCACCAACGAATGCAACACGGGTAGGTTTTGTATGACTAATGTTTTTTTACTTGTGCTCCCACAGTAAATATATTTTTGGTGAATGGGATAGTGTTAGGTATAGAGGCCAAACTCTGTTCCCGGTTATACGTGTGCAATCCCAGTAATATTAATGGTGTTGCAATGGTATAAATTAAGACAGAATTTGGCATGAAATGTGTTTTCATCCTAAATTCTTAAAATGATGATTCTACCAATGTATCCCC